CATCTCTCCTCCACACCGTGTCCACGCCAGGGGTCTGTAAGCGTGCTGCAGTAAGAACCAGTAGGGTCTCGATACAAAACCCCTTGTGCTCCCAGCAGACTGAAACAATTTACAACGTGGATGTGGTGTGAGAGGGCCCTGTAAAGGGGCACCATTGCTTTTTAATGTCGATCTCAGCTGCAAATAAAAGAAAAAGTATGTACATGGTATACCATGCTTAATACATATGTTCTGAAAAGTAAGTAACCCCCCCTCCCCATAAATATCACAGAGTGCACAGAGTGTGCAAATATATATTTTTTCCCAATCAGGAAATCAAATAGGACGATCGCCAATTAACAATCTGTCATTGTTAAATATTGGAGAGTGTGGGCCCCAAACAGAAAAGCAGCCAGCCAATTTCTCCACCCTCCTCCATATCAATAGCAAATATGAAATCATAGGACCAAATCTCAAACGGCAGTGACGGGGAGTGATTTTAGAATGCAAAATGTTAGTAAAAGAGTATGGAGCTATCATCCGCTCCTCCAAAGCTCGCCATGACACTTGAGCATCAGATTGAAACCAAGATAGGAGAGGTCTAAGTGTGAAGGACCACTTATAGAACTTAAAGTTCGGGAGAGACAGGCCACCGGCCTGCTTTTCTCGCTGCATAGTGGTGAGCTTAATGCGAGATCGTTTGCCACGCCACAGAAATTTAGTTATTGCTGACTGTAATTTGCTCCAATATTGAGGGGGTGGGGGAAGTGGGAGCATCGAGCTAACAAAATTGACTCTGGGCAGAATATTAATTTTAATTATGGCTACCCTGCCACGAAGTGAATTTGGCAGGTTAGACCACCTGTTCAGATCCACACAACCAACTTTGTTAAGTGTGTTGCAAAAATTGTTTTTTAATTATTGTCTGTATGGAGGAAGATATATCTATCCCCAGATAAGTAAGTTTTTAGTGAGTGGAATAGATGCAGGGATGGGAGCATTACACATGGCCTGATTTAAAGGTAGCAAAGCTGATTTCTGCCAATTTATTTTGAAACCAGAAAGCTTGCCGTAATGTTCGAAGGTTGACAAAATGTGGGATACATTGCACTGGGTTGTTTATATACAATAAAACATTATCAGCATACAGTGAGACGTGATG